ACACCCAAGATGTATGATCAGTTTATAATGCATGATGCATTACTATAGATTAAACCACCCATTAAAAGTGCACAGTAATGCAGTTAGACAGTATAACAATAGAGGGGCATTAAGTTACTTATGTACTCTATGTACATTTTAGCATTAGTACTTTTACTTAAGGATCTGAATACTTCCTCCACAACTGCATAAACCACATACCCAGAGCTGGAAAGTGGAACCTACTTCATAAGGCCAAAAATAAAAATGTTTCTAATTCCCATCACAGCTAGACTTGAATAGAAAGAAAAGCTGAAGTGAAGCACAAAAAAAATAGCTTACTTGGTAAAACACACCCTCTGACAGATTTACGACAGAGCCTTACTTTTTCTTTCTTTCTTTCTTTCTTCTTCAAAATGATATATTAAAAATAATTATTGATAAAATAAACTAAAGCACTTAGAAACTCACCCAGAAGAAATCCTTGAAATGCAGGTTCTTCATAACTGTGACCTGGAGAGGAGAGCAGCGCTTCCACCAGCAGTGACTGTCAGCGGACTGAGAGTCGGTCTCTCCGTCTGATGGTTAAAGTCCCGCAGGCAGTGGGCAGGGAGATACTGGCCGCCGGTCACATCGACGCATGCGCAGTGATGATAAGCAAAAACAACCTTCTGTCACTCCTGACGACAGGTATGTCTCCACGTGCGCGCTTCCTGTTCTGGTGACCTGAATCCATTGAGTGTATATCTGATCATTAATAATAATAATAATAATAATCAATAATTGAATCAGAATTGAATTGAAAAAAATTTATTAAAAAAATAACTTGAAAGAGGTTTCATTTAAAAATGACAGAAAGATACGGGGATTATTATTATTATTATTATTATTATTATTATTATTATTATTATTATTATTATTATTATTATCTTATGTACTTAAGATAAGCCTTTATTGATTGTTGCACATGCACAATGACAGACATAAGTAGGCATATGAACAGAGAAAAGTAAAAAGTAACAATTAAAAAAAAAATCACAAGAGGTAGGCTATATAAAATCTAAATGAGAATAGAAGTAAAATGTTTTATACACACTTTACAAGAGCAGTTAAAGACACGGTTACAAGGCAAAAGTTAAAATATCAAAAGTAAAAGTAGTTCTACAGAAAAATGGCCCCTGCAATATTCATGTGTTTTACAATATTAGATTAGTGATGCATATTTGGTTGTTGCATTGTTTTATATTTTATCTAGAAAGACATGGGTGGTCAAGCTGTATGGAAGTGATATTTGAATTTAGTTTGGAAACATTTTAATTGACAAGAATGCATTTTTCATTCAACCATTTATAATTTTCAGCAAAACCCATACACATATATAAAATGCAACACACTAATAGAAAAGTCATCTTTACTCTCAGAATGTGTTTCAGTACGTCCATTTTGTAATTTTCCCCTCCTATGTACTAATTTATTTTTATTGTGTAATGCTTCCTGCATAATACGGAAGCGTGTTGCATTCACTTGAAAATGTATTTTTTGATTTGTTTTTCGAGTAATTTTTTTTTCTGTTTTTCGGAGTAATTTCTTTTCTCAGTTTAAGAGCATTTTAAACAATAGACGCATTAATTCCTTTATTGAGAGCTCGATACAACGGAAGCAAACATGACCGGCTTGTTTAGTTAAATTAAAAAAAAATTACTCCGAAAAACAGAAAAAAATATAAAAAAAAACAAACCAAAAAATAAATTACTCAGAAAACCTCCTTTTTTTTTTTTAAGTGAATGCAATATGCGTCCATAGCATTATCCTTTTTACCAATAGATAGAGAGATGTAGTTCTCACGTTGAGTTTGGATGTGCTGCCATCTAGTGATTGATGGAGGTATATACAGGGTTAACAGGTCGCCCGTCAGAGATAAGTGATAAGTGAAGTTAAATATAAAAATAGAATAAGAATAATAAGATCATTCACTGAACTAAAAATAGCAATATCACACTATGCAAATACTAGTGGATACATGAAGGGGAGGAAGGAAGTCACAGGGCTCATAAAATCCTCTTCAGTACAAAACCAGCCAATATAATATTATCAGACAAGATTAAGCAAACAAAAATGAGGAACAGATAATATAAAAAAGAGAAACGAAAACAAAAGTACTCCTTATGCAGAATTACCCTTCAGTCAGTGTTCTTGGAATATTATTGCTGATGCATTAATGTGTAAGAAGTATTTATATATACTGTCTGGTAGTTTGATCTATAACAATGCCTTATAGTGTAGCTATAATCTGACATATGAAATCTTAATCTAAAAGGTAACGAGCTCCATACAAAAAGTACAGTACTTAAGTTAATACTTACTGTACTGCTGAATATATATATAATATATATGTTTTTTTAATTTGATCCTGAAAGTAGAAACTTGAGTGTGGCTTTATTTATCTTCTCAGCTCAGTATACCAGACCTACATTACAATATTACAATACAAATTAATCACTAAAAACAAACGCAAACATACATTCACAAACTTTATGAATGAACCATACTGTTATTTATGAATGTGTAAATTTAAAAAAAAATACTTTAATGGATGATTTTCATTCCCAATTTAAAATTTTCATGATTATTTTATGACATATATTATATTTATGCTTCTGATCTTTCAGTCAACAGCTTCATTGAAAACTTTAGTTGTACACATCCTTTTCTTCAGAATTGGCCCACAAATACGTCAACAATTACATAGTAAGAATGCCTCTTGGCTGACTATCTGCTCACATCAGGAGTGTGGCAGTGTGAGACAAACAGGTTAACCAAACCTGCCAAACCTGATTTGTTTTTCTATAATTTGTTGGTCTATTCTCCCAAAGTCGCAGACACACACGCACACACACACACACACACACACACACACACACACACACACACACACCTTTCTGTTGCCTGCCCCACTTCCAGACACAAGGTCATTAATTTCCTGAGAAATCTTGTGCAAAATATTGTCACAAAACCAACAGGTTTGTTGACACACATCAGATCACATGAACATTGTATTGTGTAGGTACAGTAACTGATAAGCATGTTCATAGTACATGTACATTACATTGAAAACACCCTCTCGCTCCCTCTCTCTCTCTTTGTACTACTGTTAGGATGTAGCAATAAAAGACAAAGCAGGAGTTTAACAACACTGTTATCAGCAGAGATCATATGACCATTCTGTGCTGATGAACTAGATTCTGTTCTGACATTAGTAGTGCTGGAAAGTGCTGTGTTGAAGTACAAGTCTGTGTGACTTGAGTATTGAGTCCATATAATGCAACTTTATACTTCTACTTCACTTTATTATTGCGTTGGACATATTGCACTTTTTACTCCACTACATTTATCTGACAGCTAATAGTTATTAGATATATTTTACAAAAAAAACCCCATATTATAAGCTTGTTAAACACATGCACTGCTAAATATTAAACCAGTGGTTCCCACATTGTCTTCTTTCAGATGTCTGTGAGTTGTTAACAGTTCCAACAATGAGACATTTCTGTTCTAAACTTCTCAGTAAAATTTGAGAAAAGTCTCAAAAAATGACCACAAATATGTGTAGCAATGCTTTCCTTCCTCATTATTCATAACACAGCTCTTCAGACTTTTATTGTGACCCTCAGGTAGACTCTGGACCCTATAGGTTGCTAAAAGCAGTTCACAGGTAAAATGGTGATTAAGTATATCATATTGTAATACATAGTACAGTAGAAGAGTTCCTGCATGTACTTTAATAAGAACTTTCGATACTCTAAATAGATTTTGCTGATTATATTTCTGTACTTTCATTCATAAATGAGCATTTTTAAATGAATTAATTGCTACCTTTACTTACAGTAAAGAATCTGAATTCTTTTAACTATTGCGTAAGTACTTGTCTGTACATCACAAAGTTCACATCACAACTTTACGTAATCCTCCGGGTCTTTCTGTAGACTATTCCGGCACACAACAAATCATCATACCTTATATAGAATAAACATAAATTATTGTCATAGCGCACTGATCGGCACAGATCGCCTGACTGCGGCTGGCTGTAGTTTCCCAGGTACTTCCCCGTTCCTGCAAGAAGGAAGAAAGCTACAGGCAGGTCTCAACATGTCCATGACAACTATGCTGAGCAGAGCAGTGAGATCTTTGAATAAAATACACAGAATATATATCTTTGAGTTCTGCATTATAAACCTTTCAGGCAGTTGTGGTGTGTATGTGTGTGGTGTACACTGCTGTGTGTAATTTATTTACAGGTTGAACGAAACACTCTGTGAACACTGATGTTGTTCTTTAACTGTCAGTAAACACTTATATTGATCACATGACATTTTGAATATTCAGTGTTTTCTGTTTATATAATGACACATGTGTTATGACTTTGCTCTATATTCTGAAAAACACTTAGTCTATATATCTTATCACTATCAGCCCACCAGGGCACAACATCACCCACCTCCTGTGAACTGTTGTTGTGCATTCAAACCTTGAAAAAAGCAATAAATCTTTATGGTGGGATTATATAAGTGTGAGTTCTTAAAATTCTGCCTCTATCTATTGAACATCGTGGTCCGCCATGGGGAAATCTTGCTTCATGTTTTTACTTCCTATACAAAGCTACTTGTGACGTCTTTCAATACGTCCTTAGTTTTTTAAAATATATTTATTCATTTAATTAATCTTCAAATATTGTCAAATCATGAATTATTATTATAAATATCTTTTTATGTGAATGAAGTTCCTTTATGATCACTCAATTTGACTGCAGCAGCATGTTTATGTTTCTTAAAGCTAAAACTACAAACACAAACAATCTGGCACAAACAATACAGACATGTGTTGTTATGTTCTACAAACTCTAAAGTAGGTACGTTTTATATAATATTACTGATTAAGGAGGCCACAACAATATTGTGAACACTTTGGTCTACGTCACGTGGGAGGGACTTGGCTTCGGCAGAAGGGGATTCCTCTGCCATAAAGTTACGTCAAGCTGCAGTACTTAAACTCATACTGCTATCAATAGGTCAAACCTGTTCCTTCTTGTCAAGCGACAACTACAGAGCTTTATAAGCACCGAGGAAGAAGAAAAACTGAACCTTTAAAACTCTCTTCTCTTTTTACGGAGCATTACCTACCACTATGGAAATGGGTAGCCACGGTGAGTATCTTAAAAGATTTGATTGAACTTGTTTTTTGTTAAGGTTTATCAGTTTAAAGGTGTATTACATGGTGGATACTCCTCTGAACCTAACTAACTCCTCTGAACTGTGTCCTTTTTCCCTCAGATCTTGCTTTCGATCACTGCGCGTATGAGTTGCGTCAACTTGGTGATGGACTCTACTGGAAATACAAACTGCTGGAAATACTGATCAAGAACTACAAGACTGTCACTAAAATCAAGTGAGACATGACGTCAAAGCACAAAAAGAGGAATTGGATTTTTGCTAAACTGGAAGGCAATCAAAGCCAAAGCAGAAGAGTCCTGGACACAGACTCGTCACAGCAAAATGGTGGCTCTCAAGTGAGATTTAAGCTTATGGAAACACCCTGATGGAGATATTCGATGTGAACTGTCAGTGGACTGCTGCCATATTCAAGACTGGAGCTCTGCAGAGAAAGCCAATGAGTGGGATGCTATTGATCCACCGATTCGGACCCATGGATGACTGGAACCAAAGGGGAACATCTGAATGGACGTTATCTGCTGAAAGATGCTGATTGTCACATGTATTATGTACATACTACTGTATATGTGGACATTTATGCATATTATGCTCTATAAACCTGTCTCATTTACATCAATGGAGATTTGTAGACTTGGAAGAATTGTGATTAAGTGTATTAACTTTTCAAAAATGTCTTTCTACGGGGAAGTGTTTCAAGAATTGCTAATTAAAGATATATATATATTCAATAAATCTAGTATCTGGTCATTTGTAATATAGCGGTTGTGAAAGTAAACAGTTGAATGAATGTAAGGCTTCAACTCACAATGAGTTTCATGTCAGTTAAAGGAATAGTTTGACATTTTCAGATATACTTATTAATTTTCTTGCTGAGAGTTCAATGAGAATATTGATACCACTCTTTTGGCGTTACGTTAAATATACCTGGAGTCAGCAGCTGATAAGCTTACCTTAGCTTAGCTTAGCATAAGGAAAGAGTGGGAAACAGCTAGTCGATTTTACACTTAACACGTTATAACATGTCCATTAGTGAGCTGGTAGGCAGATTTTCTTTTCTTTTGGACAGAAACAGGTTAGCTGTCTCTCTATTTCCAGATTTTGTTTTTTGTGTGAAGCTAAGCTAACCAGCTTCTGGATGTAGCTTCATATATAGCATACAGACAAGTGTGGTATCAATCTTCTCCTCTGACTCTCGGTAAGAAAGAAAACAAGGGTATTTCCCAAAATATCAAACTGTTTCTTTAATCTGTTATTTATCCAATCAATTGATATAAAATGACAAACAGCCATCCCAATTTCACAGAGCCCAAAGCAATGTCCAAGAAAAGAAACAGAAAGTTTGGCTTATTTTCTCAAAAAATTACACAAAAATAAAGAAAACATCAGATGAAGCACCTCTTATTTGCATGATAGATTGATGGGACTACTAGTTGAATAGGAGAAAACAAAATCAAACAGATGAAATAAAACCAAAATTGTAAATGGAAAAAAAAAACCGACAACAGCAAAACAGTGCTAAATTCAGGCACTTAAAGGATCCTTACTTTATTTTGTGTGGTAATACAAAAGCATACAGAATTATACAGGATAGCAGAGAAGATCCCTTTCATTGAATTCCATTAGATCGTACACATAAAATGACTAATAATTACATACAAGCCTTTTCTCTGTAGCTACATCAACAAGTACCCCGGCCCTCCACCAATAGCATGCATGGTCTCTTTGCTGTAAACGGATCTCAACTCTTCTTCATACCTATTTGTATTTTGTAGGTAGAAAAAAAAAGAAAAAAAGACAGAACTAAAAGTATGTCATGAAACAATAAGGGATAGTCATACACAGATCATACTCATCAGACCAGACTCATGGTTTTATACTTTCACAGAAGTTTTCTCAGACCTGCAGTAAAGCATGTTTGGAGATGTTTTTGTTCCAATGGACTGCATGTTGTTGAACACTGATTTAACTGGGGCCCAAGTAACTCTCCCATCATCTGTGTGTATGAAACAATACCTGCCCGCACTATCATATAGAAATAACATCTAATTATGACATGACATATAGACTGAAAGATACATCATATTGCAATAGGGAAACTTAAAGGGTCGGTTCACCCAAATGACAAAATACTAACTTACCTCTGTTGGTTTACAGTGAAACTAGTAAATAGTTTTCAAATGCGATCTCTTCTGTGCAAAGTATTTCCAATGGAAAAAGTTTAGTTAGGTTTCTGGGTTTGTCACTGGAAACTCCACAAAGACATTTTTATTTTGGGTTTTGTTTTACCGCTGACAAGCATCTTCTTGGGAAACTCAATTTACCCTCACTGTATGAGGATAGAGGCAGATATCTCAGACATATTTCATAAAGTTAAATAAAACCAAACTACCTGAATGGCTGGATACCACTAGTGTTATGTGAGAAATTTATTTTTTGATTTGGGCAAATCGACCCTCTAATGCTCTCTGAACTAAAACTAGCCCGTTTGGCTAACATTTCCCAGCCTGTTCATATAAGCTCTGATGACCACATTGTAAATCTTGTGTAGGCTGTTCACAGCGATCCAAATCAGAGAGGACTTGTTCGCTTTTCCTGCATCTTTACATCTCAACTCACAATTAAAAATATGAGCAGAAGCTTCTTTTTATATGTCCAGAGGAATGCTTTTAAAGTATTCATAAAGATCAATAACTGTAGACAAAATAAGTGAGATCTTTTTTGTTTTAAACCATTGTTACTAAGGTTCATAATTTTCAGTCTCATCTTCAAGTGTGTTACTCAACTTAAGAAAAATCTCTATAAATACGATCCTACCTACAGGGCTACTGACTGTGCAAAATAGTTGATAAATGGCAGGCTACTTCAAGCATCGATTAGCAACATAAATAGAAATGGAAGACTAGTCTCATTCTATAAAACACAGAATGGACCCATTGCAAAAACAGCAAACTAATAAAATAAAGAGTTTTGCTAGACTCAAGGTTTAATTCTTCATTTATGACAGAGACTATACGGGCCACGTTAACCCTGCTCGCTCTTAATGATGCAGCGACTGAACTCAAGCGATTTTTATTTGTGTTCTCGCTTTCTTCCTCAAAATGCAATGAGGAAGAAAGGAGAAGAGAGAATTTAATGAGAAGACAGAGAGTGAATCGGCAAAACATTCAGGTAGTCTATTCTAACAGTAACCCTAAGCATGGACTCCCAACACAGACCTGTGTGAGTGCAAAGAGCATAGACAGCAGTGTGATTTGCTATCCTTTATCCTTGCATGGGGGAAGAGTATGGAGACGAGACCAGGAAATGATTCTGGTGAGATCTTGTAGTAATGGAGAGATGTTTTTTTTTTCCTTAGTGTAGAAGGGAAACTTGGCCCCAGTCAAAATCTTCATATTCACCACGACTACTGCTGCCACCTGCCTTGTTCTTTGATGTCATCTAACATTAACAGAAGCCCATCTGTTCGTAGTGTCGATGTTTACAAGTATATCCAGCCTAGCAGTTGCAGATAATTTACCTCCCTGTGTGAAAGAAGTCATTTTTCTTTTAGAGACCGTTCCGACAAACCAAATGTTTCTTGGTGAAGCCCACCACCAATCAGATTGCACTGGGTTAATATGGTATACCACCAAAATGTCATCCGGAATAGATGTACAAACAGGCTCCCCAACCAAAATAGATTGTCTCATTAAAGTGAAGTCCGTCTCATTAAGTGAAGTCCTTCAACCAATTAAATAACGCAGACCATAGCCAGATCTTCCAGTCCAACCGATCAGGTGTTTTCATTTAGTAAATGCGGCCACCACAGCCCACATGAGTTCATTGGCGTTGGGCTTTGTGCTCTCTTTCTCCGGCTCCAGCTCTAGCAGAGTGTGGACTCTTTTCATGCCCAGGTCGTACTGGTCGTCTTGGAGTGGGGCGAAGGCATTCTCAAGAACGTCAGATGAGTGGGCCAGAAGGATCAGGGCCAGAACTCGCTTGTCCATGCGGTGGGGATCGTTGACCCACTTCTCCAAAACGGACTCCTGGACCTTCTTGACGAGGCGCTGTAGGCAAAAACATTGACATAATGTGTTTTATAGCTATTACACGCATCAGAACTAGACTAAAAACAACATTTAAAAAAAGTCAATCAATCTGTTAAATTTGATGCTACAGCCAGCAGATGATTAGCTTAGCATAGCATAAAGACAATGTCCGACGGTAAAAATCTGCCAACCAGCAGCTGTGTAGTTCATTTTTATACTTCCGTTTTTGAACAAATGTGAAATAAAACATTGATTAATGGTACCCATCTTTATGCTAACAGTACATAATACAAAAGTTTATTTGCCGCAATGTTGAACTATTTTTGGTAAAACTGGCAAAACAGCAAGATAAAATTACATGATTGTAAATAAATACATGACAAAATGACAACACTATCTTCTAAATGAGACTAAATCTATAAATAATCACGAGTAATTACTAGTTTGCATTATTATTATGCTTGTGATAATTCTACACCAAAAGCAGGAAAGGTTCAATTTGAGCAATGAGCCAAACACAAAGCACATACTTCAATACTGTACTGTCTATGAGAATGCCTTTTTATAACCAGGTTACATTAAAAAATGTAAAATTCAAAGCTATAGTCAAACAAAAACGTCTGTTTTGGGATCCGCTGAGCACAGACAACTGCTCAGTATAGAGTACCACCAACTGAAATCACATTTAGTCCTCCAGTATAGCAGTTAAAAATGTCAGTCATTTCTAATTGGCAATAGTTTATTAATAAAAAAGAATTAAAAAAAAGTATTTTGGTAAATTTCTGAATATTTCCTTTCTGAAGGGACATTTGAGCCTTTGGTTGGTGTCTATGTTTGATTGACAGAAGCTGGCAGAACGAAACACAATGTAAACAAACCTGTGCTGTGGCTTAAAGGCCATGAGCAGACAGTGTAAAGACCACACCGGCCTATAAACAGACCAAAGTGGTATTTGCAGGTACATTTATACACTACTTTAATATGCTGCAGCTAACTAGCTAGCTATCTGGCCTGCAAACTGATGATAGCAGCGCACTTTTCTCCAGTGATTGTCTGGTTGGTGGCTCACTGCAGGACGTGTGTTTGTATCCTAAACCTAAAAGAAAAAAAAACACATGAGCAGAAAAAGCTAATATGGGCTGATGTTTGTGTGGCTCTCGTGTGTCAGGCTGGTGTCTGGCCATAAACTTCTCACTTTTGGGGATCGGATTTTTTCTCAAAAGAGAGCATAGATGGGATTTACAGAGCTGTTATATATGTTGTAAAACCTGCACTATAAATGTATAATATGTACAATTTCTGAATTAAAAACACTGGACTTATGTTATATATTTGTTAGAGTTGTGTACTTAAATTATCCCAAATGTTTCCAACAATATAAAACTAAAGGTTTTATATTGTAAAGGTGTGTTTCTTACTTGCATCTAGTTGCTTTAACTTCAAGGAAACACGAGATACATAAAGATATGTCTGAGAGTGAGGAAGGAAGTTGGTGAACACAACTAAACGAAACTTAACTTTGAATGTCTGCCTGAGTCATGTCAAACAAGACTTCCATCAGCAAGGGAACAATGACGACAACAATTCACATGATCACCAAGCTACCAACGACATCAAACCATGATAAGAGAGACCCCTAGGGGCAGAAATTACACACTGTGCATTTAAATTCAGTAGCTTTTTAACAGGATCCAATGCAGGTGT